TTTCCACATAGAGAATGTCATAATGTTTTCAGTCTTTTTCTCTTTTCGAATGGTAAATGTGGAGTGTGAATCAAATCACCCAATACTAACAAATATTGGCTACGTCTATAACTTAGGGCAACATTATATTTTCTACATCGATATGCAAAATTCTCTTTTGTTTGCGAATTTGAAAATTTCAGTTATATATAGAATGTGGTTTGCAATTTGTTAAGCGTTAATATCTTTCATTTAGAAATGCGATTTTTTCCATCAAGGTTTCATGTGTACATGATATTTGTGTTTCTCTTGATTACTATGGGGCATAACTTTAGTTTTACAGTTCCTTAAACATACTAAGTCATGTAGCACACGGAATGCAACCAAGTGATCAAAATATGGATAAGAAATTGTAGAACACAAGATATTAATGAGATTGATAACCGAATATTTATTCGTAGAGCCTATTTATTTGACAGCACAAAGGGGACAATCATCCACTAGTATGCTGCCACATAGAAAATCTTCTAATTGTTTAAGCCTTTTCACTGTTTGGATAGTAAATATTTATGAGAACATGGAGTTTGAATCAAATCACCTAATGCTAACAAATCTTGGCTTTTTTGTGGTTTAGAGTAACTCTATAATTACTACAACATTATGTAAGATTAACTTTTGTTTGCATATTCGAAGATTATGGTTATATATTGAATGACATTATATTCATGAAGTCATAATTTCTTAAGTGTAATATCTTTCAACTTGAAATGTGATTTTTTTCAATCATGGTTTCATGTAGACATGATAATTATGTTTGTCTCTCCTATTTTCTAGGGGGGCATAACTTCAATTTTGCAAGCATACTAAGACAGTGTGGTGCACGAAATGTAACCAGTTGATCCTAATGTGCAGAAGAAATTGTAGAACACAAGATTTCAATGAGACTGATGATCAAATATTTATTCTTAAAATATACCGATTTGACCCTATAAACATGGCATTCACCCAATAACATGTTGCCACTTATAAAATCTGCTAATTGTTTTATTTTATTTTTTATTTTTTTATTTTTTTTCGGATGGTAAATATTTCTACAAAAATAAAGTGTGAATCAAACCCATGTTTGTAACCAAAATAGCAAAGAATCAAGTAAATATTCTTTGAATATCGGTATTCAAAACATACGAGCATTGTGTAAATTATGAGTTTCAGGTTATTCTTTTTACTATTAAATATTTTATTGCACCACTTAATATTTGGTTGCTACTTTCATACATAGTAAATCGAGATGTTACATGAGACTAGCTACATGGTACACCTAAAACCGCATACTACGGTGGCCAAGGTGGAACAGCAGTATGCAGTTCACACAACATCGACCCCTATTGTTGTTCTGCAGTATGGCCACCGTGAGATGGTAGCTTACTGCACCTCTTTTGTGTCCTTTTTGTGAAAAGGGACATATGTGACCAATTAAAAAAAGAAAAGTAAATAAAATAAAATTGTTGTAAGGTGTACTATGACACCTATCAGTTTTGTTGGGTGATAGAAAAAATAATGTGACGATGACATGACGTAATATATTCTTTACAGTAGTGAGATGTGGTTCTCGTGAATTTGACTGATACCTAGCACAGTTACATACAGAAAACATGATGTCAGGTCTATTAGCAGTAAGATAACGTAATGAACCTATCATGCTTTTGTAAAGAGTTAGATCAACTGCAAGTTTATCTAATGAAAGTGTCAGTTTTATGCCAGTTGCCATCGGAACTCGTAACTTTGTGCTATTCGTCAATCCAAACTTCTCTAGAAAATTCTTCGTATATTTTCCTTGATTGATAAAAATACCTTCTCTGTTTTGACGAATATTCAATCCAAGAAAATTATTGATTTTTCCCATCATGCTCATTTCAAACTTGCTTTTCATCAAATTTTCAAATTCACAAGACAAGGCAGGGTCAGTTGAGCCAAAAATAATATCATCAACATAAATTTAAACAAGCATTAGATGATTCTCAACTTTGTTTCGAAATAATGTGGGATCAACCGATCCTTGTTTAAATTTAGATTGTTTCAAAAATGAAGTTAACGTTGCATACCATGCTCGTGGTGCTCGATTCAAACCATAAACTGCGTTATCTAGGATATAAACATGATCAGGATGTTCTTCGTTAATAAAACCTAGGGGTTGTTCAACATAAACTGTCTCTTCAAGCTCTCCATTTAAAAATGCACATTTCACATCCATTTAATAAACATTAAAGTCTTTATGAGTTGCATAAACCAAAAATATACGAACAGTCTCGAGTCTTGTAATAGGGGCAAAAGTTTCTTCGTAATCTATACCTTCTTGTAGAGAATATCCTTTAACAACAAGCCTGACTTTGTTTCTAACAATGTTTCCATCTTTGTCGGTTTTATTTTTGAAAATCCATTTTAACCCGACAATCAAAACATTATTTGACTTAGGAATTAATCTCCAAACCTTATTTCGAATACATCACTTCCGAACTTCCAATTGCATCATCTTGTAAGCTTCAAAACTTCAAGACAACTTCGGTCTTCAAATCCGCGTAATATGAAAAATTCAAGTTCGAATTTCCATATAAAACTTTTGTGTACTCTTCGTAATATGAACAAACCCCTATATTTTCAGGAATTACTTGGGGGCAATTTTTGGGACCAAGATCCTTACAACATCCAGGATCCTAAAATATTCAGGATCTTCAGCAACATCAGGATCCCATCTAATTACTGTTATTTTTATTATTATTACTTATAACAGTCATATTTTGTCTATAACTAACACGTGTACAGAAAGAGTCAAATGAAGACCTATTCTTAATGAAGAAGTGTTTCGATAATGCAAAAGACCCAAAATACTTGGTCAAATAACATTCATGAAGGTTGTCATAGAGGATCCCGGAAATATCAAACTCATGTCGTGTAAATGTAAACTCATGCAATGTAAATGTACTCATGAGATCTACACGAGCTGTATATATTTACTCATGAAGTCCACACAGGTCGTGCGGGTGCCCAAACTTGCCCATTGCATGATTTTTGTCCCATTTGGTTATTATTCTTTGATGTATTGGCTCTCAAATCTTCCATAGACCTTCCAGTTGACTTATATGGATGTAATAATTATTAGTACCATGTTTTACTACTAAAACATCTTATTTCATTACTGAATTAATGATTAAATGTCTTAATATTTCAACATTTTAAATGAATTTGATGGAAGTCATCAAACTTCAAATTTAGGCCTTAAGTATCATTTAATCATGTATTTCATCTAGGTTGACTCTAAATATAATAATAAAACCAAATGACTTCCTAAACATGTTATTAATCATTTGAAGGCATCATTACACAAGGATTTACGACTCAAGTGAGATAATATGGTGATATTAACAACCAAAAGCTTGATCAGGTTACATTGGAATCACATAAGCTTCAAATTATCACAAATCCTTTTATAAACCTAGATAATCACCAATAAGTTTCAATTTGAGTTGGTGAATTAGACTTATGAGATTTCCATGAGTTTTAGTTGATTAAAACTTAAGTCATTAGTAGATCTTGAATGACCATTCAAGTTCTAAGTCACACATGAAATCTTTAAATTAGATCCACAAGTATGATTATTAAACATTGAAGGATTTCAAATTTCAAATAGAGTTTATAGAGTTAAATCCAAGTAAAAAAAATAACATCATATTCATGAGAGAATACTCAAAAATTGAATTTCACCTGTGTTAGGGCTTTGAAGCTTCCAAAACACCATTTAAACTCCATATTTAAGCAATGAATGAGAATAATGAAGATATAATAGGAATATAATACTTGGAACTAACTTGAAACATCATCAAAACACTCCTAACATGATAGATTCTTGAATTTGAAAATCACCTGAAACCCTAACTCGATCTAAATGAAGAACAAAGATAAAAGTGTAGCTTCCAGTGATCTAATGGCTAGTTCTTCCTCTTCAAGCATACTTTAAATCCCCTTTCTTTGGTAAAAATCACACAAATATAATAGAATCACGTGGAGCTCTTACGCATTCAAAATCATTTTTTTTGTCCATCTTAGAATTACTTAATCATCTTTTCAATATTCGGTATCAAACAATTTGTATGTTAGAGTGTTTTTTTAGTATAATCTTTTTGACAAATAAAAAAGGAAAACCAATAATATTGTTCAAAAGACATTGGTCAAGTACCAAATACATCTATATATTATTTTCAGTTGAATAAAGTTCTTACAAATAATTTTTTTGATTGATTTCTTTCATTTCTTATGGAACATTACAAAAACAATAATAAAATAAATAATAAAAAATAAAAATAAACAAGATTCTGGTAAAGGAACTGATTCGTACACAATGATTTTTCTTCATACAAAACATGTGTTTTAAAATTTTGTATGGTACAACTCTACAAAACATAAATTGTTATGTACGCAGAAAAATTGTTGTGTAACATGCTCAATAATACTAGTCAAAGATTAAGAAATGGTTGTCACAACCTTTTAAAACAACCTCAATGATAATGGCCAAAGATCAAAAAGTAGTTGTTACAACCTTCATTATAAATTTTACCAGATAACCTATTAAAAAATTAATACAATTTATGAAATTCTAAAAACTATAATAAGTAATGTTTATAATTAACTTTCCATTTTTACTTATTTTCAGAATCCATAATATGATTTTCAGAATACATAATATGACAATTTTATAAATATCACATATACGACCCATTATTACATTTGGATCATTAATTGGCTAATAAATGCAATTGGCCTTATCTGGCTTTACTTTCTCAGGGTCAAATTTGCTAAATTAAAAAAAAAACGTACAATTTTTATTGAGTATGTTACTACTTCCCATAACAACAGTAATCTAATTACTTAAACAATTACTCTGGAAAAAAGAATTAACCTTAATATATCTTCAGAATAATTCCACTCATTTCATGCTTCCCTATTGCGTCCGTTACAAACCATTCTGCATGCTCTCTCTTCTCTTGAATCGTCGAACTTCCGTTTTCAAACGTCGAATTGCACTTGTAAGTTTTCATAATCGATATTTTCTGTATGGTTAGATCTCATAGCTATATGATTTTGTTGATTAAAATGAAATGATTGTATAAATTTCGATGTGTTTTTGTAGGAGCTAATGAGCAGTAGCATTAAAGGACGACTTGTTCACCCCAATCAGATGTCTCAGCCTCCGGAACCTGATCCCGAAGCGTCGATTACACCATCAGGTAGTGATCCTGATTCTTCTTTAAATCTGATGGGTTTTCAATTTAGTTTTAACGAATCGGCACAAACCCCTAATTTAAACCCAAATTTTGATAATGAAACATTGGATCATTATACAGATGAGCAACTGGAAGAATCTGTTTTGAAAAAAATAGAGCTTTTGTACATCAAAGCTATTTCCCAGCTTGTTTCATCAGGTTATGATGAGCTTGATGTTTTCAAAGCTGTATTGAGGAATGGACATTTTCATGGGAAAATGGATCCATTGTCTAACATTCTACATAACGTCCAGATACATCTGAGTACTGACGATAATGGGTACAATGATAACTTAGTTAACCCCAAGAAGGTGTTTGCTAATCTGAAGCAGTTGAGAGAAGCTACACTCATTTCTTTATTATGTTGGTTGAGGAAAAGTTATCCATTTATGAGAAGAAGGGATGCAATGTGTTGGTTACTCGTGTCTGACCTTAATTCAGTTCGTGTCAACTCATCAAAAATCTCTAATGATGATGGTGATTGTGTTAATACACAAATGGATGATCAACATCCAATTTGGTCAGAATCCACTCCATCAATGCTTGTCCTTTTAAAAGATAATGCAGACTTTTTAGCTACAGAGTACAAAAGCTTGGATGAGGATTCTTCAGTTGCAGTTGTAAAAGATAGTGAGGTAAGTCTTGAAGGTTTTTGTATGAAGAATCAAACATCTACCAAAAGTATCTTGAAAAGATTTAATGATTTGGATCCAAATGATGAGATACTTATGAGTTTAATGAAAGAAATCAAGGATCTTGATACACAAATCAAGGAAAAAAAGAAGTGGGCTGATGCGAAAGTTCTGCAAGCAGCAAAAAGGTTGTGTGAAGATCGCAATGAGTTGAAGAAGTTAAGAATGGAAAAGGAGGATAACGAATGGACTAAGAAGCAAAAGTCACCTGTTGATATTGACCACCCCACCATGAAGAATCTCACTAATGCAGAGATGGCTTTGAGGGCATCAAATATAGAATATGATCATGCACTAATGTTATGGAGTTATCTTGAAATCGAGAATTTAGAAATTAGAGCTGACATTATGGCTTCAAAGTTGAGTGCTTCTGAGTCCGTGACTTCAATTGTTCAATCTGCTAAAAGGGAGAAGAAGCATCTCAAGAAGATTTTGGCATGGGAGAAACAAAAGGGTAAGTTGGAGGAAGATATTACATCTGAGAAACAAAATCTCATGGAGATGGAGGAAGAAATGATTCAAGTTGAAGCATCTAAAAGAACAGCCGAGGTATTTTGATTTTCTTTCTATTCTTGTTATATGTTATCATTATTGTACGTATATATAAAAATCTTTAATCTATTTTTCATTTTAATCTTTCTAAAACAGGAAAAATGGAGGGAGGAAAATGAATCCAAAAAACACGCTCTTGCACGTGTAGATCAAGAAATGATTCTCAAAGAACAAACCATATCAGACAACAAAAGAATCCAAGAATCATTACATGCAAGAATTGATTTGGATTTGAAATGCCAAAAAGATGACATACAAAGACTCGAACAAGAACTCTCACGAGTCAAATCTTTAAATGACCCGAATCATTATTGGACTAGTCTTTTTGGGACCCGCTTTGGAGATGATACTGTTGGGCGAATGCTTCATGGATCTAGTGATGAAGGTGATGAAAGCGATGATGAAGTTGACCATGAATGTGTAATGTGTGGTGAAAATGAAGTTTCTGTGGTTTTTTTACCATGTGCTCATGAAGTAGTTTGTGGTGTTTGCAATGAGGGTCTTAAGAAGGATGAATGTCCAACTTGTGGGGTTGCGATTGAAGAAAGGATTCGTGTTTTTGGTGGAAGTTCTTAGTTTTGGATGTGTTGTGAACAATAGGTTTGTAGTGGGGAGCATTTGTGTATTTTATTTTCTTAATAGTAAGAATTAGGATTTATGTTGTTGTGGTGCAAGTTTGAATTAATAGTAAGAATTAGATTATATGTTGTGGATTAAGTTTTTCGTTTGTCTAATTACTTAATATGCTATTGAGAAAGTGATGTTCACAAAAAAAAAAAAAAAAAATTAAAAAAAAAAATGGGAGTGTGATTTACTACTAAATAGCCACATTTTTTCAAAACTATCATAAAGTAATTACAATCTACTTAGAAAGAAAAAGTCTTTCTTAAATTACTTTTTGAACAAGTTGTAGGTTTTGCAAAATGCATTTAATTTTGTGTAATTATAGTATGGTCATGGTTACAAATATTGTCTTTTGTAATTTAGGATGACTTTGTATTTTGTACAAACATTATTTTCTTTTTGTTTGCGGATTTGAAGATTCTGGTTATATATGGTTATATATAGAACGTGTTATTATTGATGAAGTTGCAAATTGTTAAGCGTTCATATCTTTCATCTTGAAATGCGATTTTTTCAATCAAGCTTTTGTGTAGACATGAGATTTATGTTTTTTCTTCTATTTGATATGGGGTATAAATTAAGTTTTGCATTTCCTCAAGCATATAGGTCAGTGCAGTGCACGAAATGTAGCCAAGTTGCCATAATATGCAGAAGAAACTGTCGAACACAAGATGTCGATGAAATTGATAATCAAATATTTATTCAAAGAGCATTATTTGATATCATAAAGGGGACAATCACACAATAGCATGTTTCCACATAGAGAATGTCATAATGTTTTCAGTCTTTTTCTCTTTTCGAATGGTAAATGTGGAGTGTGAATCAAATCACCCAATACTAACAAATATTGGCTACGTCTATAACTTAGGGCAACATTATATTTTCTACATCGATATGCAAAATTCTCTTTTGTTTGCGAATTTGAAAATTTCAGTTATATATAGAATGTGGTTTGCAATTTGTTAAGCGTTAATATCTTTCATTTAGAAATGCGATTTTTTCCATCAAGGTTTCATGTGTACATGATATTTGTGTTTCTCTTGATTACTATGGGGCATAACTTTAGTTTTACAGTTCCTTAAACATACTAAGTCATGTAGCACACGGAATGCAACCAAGTGATCAAAATATGGATAAGAAATTGTAGAACACAAGATATTAATGAGATTGATAACCGAATATTTATTCGTAGAGCCTATTTATTTGACAGCACAAAGGGGACAATCATCCACTAGTATGCTGCCACATAGAAAATCTTCTAATTGTTTAAGCCTTTTCACTGTTTGGATAGTAAATATTTATGAGAACATGGAGTTTGAATCAAATCACCTAATGCTAACAAATCTTGGCTTTTTTGTGGTTTAGAGTAACTCTATAATTACTACAACATTATGTAAGATTAACTTTTGTTTGCATATTCGAAGATTATGGTTATATATTGAATGACATTATATTCATGAAGTCATAATTTCTTAAGTGTAATATCTTTCAACTTGAAATGTGATTTTTTTCAATCATGGTTTCATGTAGACATGATAATTATGTTTGTCTCTCCTATTTTCTAGGGGGGCATAACTTCAATTTTGCAAGCATACTAAGACAGTGTGGTGCACGAAATGTAACCAGTTGATCCTAATGTGCAGAAGAAATTGTAGAACACAAGATTTCAATGAGACTGATGATCAAATATTTATTCTTAAAATATACCGATTTGACCCTATAAACATGGCATTCACCCAATAACATGTTGCCACTTATAAAATCTGCTAATTGTTTTATTTTATTTTTTATTTTTTTATTTTTTTCGGATGGTAAATATTTCTACAAAAATAAAGTGTGAATCAAACCCATGTTTGTAACCAAAATAGCAAAGAATCAAGTAAATATTCTTTGAATATCGGTATTCAAAACATACGAGCATTGTGTAAATTATGAGTTTCAGGTTATTCTTTTTACTATTAAATATTTTATTGCACCACTTAATATTTGGTTGCTACTTTCATACATAGTAAATCGAGATGTTACATGAGACTAGCTACATGGTACACCTAAAACCGCATACTACGGTGGCCAAGGTGGAACAGCAGTATGCAGTTCACACAACATCGACCCCTATTGTTGTTCTGCAGTATGGCCACCGTGAGATGGTAGCTTACTGCACCTCTTTTGTGTCCTTTTTGTGAAAAGGGACATATGTGACCAATTAAAAAAAGAAAAGTAAATAAAATAAAATTGTTGTAAGGTGTACTATGACACCTATCAGTTTTGTTGGGTGATAGAAAAAATAATGTGACGATGACATGACGTAATATATTCTTTACAGTAGTGAGATGTGGTTCTCGTGAATTTGACTGATACCTAGCACAGTTACATACAGAAAACATGATGTCAGGTCTATTAGCAGTAAGATAACGTAATGAACCTATCATGCTTTTGTAAAGAGTTAGATCAACTGCAAGTTTATCTAATGAAAGTGTCAGTTTTATGCCAGTTGCCATCGGAACTCGTAACTTTGTGCTATTCGTCAATCCAAACTTCTCTAGAAAATTCTTCGTATATTTTCCTTGATTGATAAAAATACCTTCTCTGTTTTGACGAATATTCAATCCAAGAAAATTATTGATTTTTCCCATCATGCTCATTTCAAACTTGCTTTTCATCAAATTTTCAAATTCACAAGACAAGGCAGGGTCAGTTGAGCCAAAAATAATATCATCAACATAAATTTAAACAAGCATTAGATGATTCTCAACTTTGTTTCGAAATAATGTGGGATCAACCGATCCTTGTTTAAATTTAGATTGTTTCAAAAATGAAGTTAACGTTGCATACCATGCTCGTGGTGCTCGATTCAAACCATAAACTGCGTTATCTAGGATATAAACATGATCAGGATGTTCTTCGTTAATAAAACCTAGGGGTTGTTCAACATAAACTGTCTCTTCAAGCTCTCCATTTAAAAATGCACATTTCACATCCATTTAATAAACATTAAAGTCTTTATGAGTTGCATAAACCAAAAATATACGAACAGTCTCGAGTCTTGTAATAGGGGCAAAAGTTTCTTCGTAATCTATACCTTCTTGTAGAGAATATCCTTTAACAACAAGCCTGACTTTGTTTCTAACAATGTTTCCATCTTTGTCGGTTTTATTTTTGAAAATCCATTTTAACCCGACAATCAAAACATTATTTGACTTAGGAATTAATCTCCAAACCTTATTTCGAATACATCACTTCCGAACTTCCAATTGCATCATCTCGTAAGCTTCAAAACTTCAAGATAACTTCGGTCTTCAAATCCGCGTAATATGAAAAATTCAAGTTCGAATTTCCATATAAAACTTTTGTGTACTCTTCGTAATATGAACAAACCCCTATATTTTCAGGAATTACTTGGGGGCAATTTTTGGGACCAAGATCCTTACAACATCCAGGATCCTAAAATATTCAGGATCCTCAGCAACATCAGGATCCCATCTAATTACTGTTATTTTTATTATTATTACTTATAACAGTCATATTTTGTCTATAACTAACACGTGTACAGAAAGAGTCAAATGAAGACCTATTCTTAATGAAGAAGTGTTTCGATAATGCAAAAGACCCAAAATACTTGGTCAAATAACATTCATGAAGGTTGTCATAGAGGATCCCGGAAATATCAAACTCATGTCGTGTAAATGTAAACTCATGCAATGTAAATGTACTCATGAGATCTACACGAGCTGTATATATTTACTCATGAAGTCCACACAGGTCGTGCGGGTGCCCAAACTTGCCCATTGCATGATTTTTGTCCCATTTGGTTATTATTCTTTGATGTATTGGCTCTCAAATCTTCCATAGACCTTCCAGTTGACTTATATGGATGTAATAATTATTAGTACCATGTTTTACTACTAAAACATCTTATTTCATTACTGAATTAATGATTAAATGTCTTAATATTTCAACATTTTAAATGAATTTGATGGAAGTCATCAAACTTCAAATTTAGGCCTTAAGTATCATTTAATCATGTATTTCATCTAGGTTGACTCTAAATATAATAATAAAACCAAATGACTTCCTAAACATGTTATTAATCATTTGAAGGCATCATTACACAAGGATTTACGACTCAAGTGAGATAATATGGTGATATTAACAACCAAAAGCTTGATCAGGTTACATTGGAATCACATAAGCTTCAAATTATCACAAATCCTTTTATAAACCTAGATAATCACCAATAAGTTTCAATTTGAGTTGGTGAATTAGACTTATGAGATTTCCATGAGTTTTAGTTGATTAAAACTTAAGTCATTAGTAGATCTTGAATGACCATTCAAGTTCTAAGTCACACATGAAATCTTTAAATTAGATCCACAAGTATGATTATTAAACATTGAAGGATTTCAAATTTCAAATAGAGTTTATAGAGTTAAATCCAAGTAAAAAAAATAACATCATATTCATGAGAGAATACTCAAAAATTGAATTTCACCTGTGTTAGGGCTTTGAAGCTTCCAAAACACCATTTAAACTCCATATTTAAGCAATGAATGAGAATAATGAAGATATAATAGGAATATAATACTTGGAACTAACTTGAAACATCATCAAAACACTCCTAACATGATAGATTCTTGAATTTGAAAATCACCTGAAACCCTAACTCGATCTAAATGAAGAACAAAGATAAAAGTGTAGCTTCCAGTGATCTAATGGCTAGTTCTTCCTCTTCAAGCATACTTTAAATCCCCTTTCTTTGGTAAAAATCACACAAATATAATAGAATCACGTGGAGCTCTTACGCATTCAAAATCATTTTTTTTGTCCATCTTAGAATTACTTAATCATCTTTTCAATATTCGGTATCAAACAATTTGTATGTTAGAGTGTTTTTTTAGTATAATCTTTTTGACAAATAAAAAAGGAAAACCAATAATATTGTTCAAAAGACATTGGTCAAGTACCAAATACATCTATATATTATTTTCAGTTGAATAAAGTTCTTACAAATAATTTTTTTGATTGATTTCTTTCATTTCTTATGGAACATTACAAAAACAATAATAAAATAAATAATAAAAAATAAAAATAAACAAGATTCTGGTAAAGGAACTGATTCGTACACAATGATTTTTCTTCATACAAAACATGTGTTTTAAAATTTTGTATGGTACAACTCTACAAAACATAAATTGTTATGTACGCAGAAAAATTGTTGTGTAACATTCTCAATAATACTAGTCAAAGATTAAGAAATGGTTGTCACAATCTTTTAAAACAACCTCAATGATAATGGCCAAAGATCAAAAAGTAGTTGTTACAACCTTCATTATAATTTTTACCAGATAACCTATTAAAAAATTAATACAATTTATGAAATTCTAAAAACTATAATAAGTAATGTTTATAATTAACTTTCCATTTTTACTTATTTTCAGAATCCATAATATGATTTTCAGAATACATAATATGACAATTTTATAAATATCACATATACGACCCATTATTACATTTGGATCATTAATTGGCTAATAAATGCAATTGGCCTTATCTGGCTTTACTTTCTCAGGGTCAAATTTGCTAAATTAAAAAAAAAACGTACAATTTTTATTGAGTATGTTACTACTTCCCATAACAACAGTAATCTAATTACTTAAACAATTACTCTGGAAAAAAGAATTAACCTTAATATATCTTCAGAATAATTCCACTCATTTCATGCTTCCCTATTGCGTCCGTTACAAACCATTCTGCATGCTCTCTCTTCTCTTGAATCGTCGAACTTCCGTTTTCAAACGTCGAATTGCACTTGTAAGTTTTCATAATCGATATTTTCTGTATGGTTAGATCTCATAGCTATATGATTTTGTTGATTAAAATGAAATGATTGTATAAATTTCGATGTGTTTTTGTAGGAGCTAATGAGCAGTAGCATTAAAGGACGACTTGTTCACCCCAATCAGATGTCTCAGCCTCCGGAACCTGATCCCGAAGCGTCGATTACACCATCAGGTAGTGATCCTGATTCTTCTTTAAATCTGATGGGTTTTCAATTTAGTTTTAACGAATCGGCACAAACCCCTAATTTAAACCCAAATTTTGATAATGAAACATTGGATCATTATACAGATGAGCAACTGGAAGAATCTGTTTTGAAAAAAATAGAGCTTTTGTACATCAAAGCTATTTCCCAGCTTGTTTCATCAGGTTATGATGAGCTTGATGTTTTCAAAGCTGTATTGAGGAATGGACATTTTCATGGGAAAATGGATCCATTGTCTAACATTCTACATAACGTCCAGATACATCTGAGTACTGACGATAATGGGTACAATGATAACTTAGTTAACCCCAAGAAGGTGTTTGCTAATCTGAAGCAGTTGAGAGAAGCTACACTCATTTCTTTATTATGTTGGTTGAGGAAAAGTTATCCATTTATGAGAAGAAGGGATGCAATGTGTTGGTTACTCGTGTCTGACCTTAATTCAGTTCGTGTCAACTCATCAAAAATCTCTAATGATGATGGTGATTGTGTTAATACACAAATGGATGATCAACATCCAATTTGGTCAGAATCCACTCCATCAATGCTTGTCCTTTTAAAAGATAATGCAGACTTTTTAGCTACAGAGTACAAAAGCTTGGATGAGGATTCTTCAGTTGCAGTTGTAAAAGATAGTGAGGTAAGTCTTGAAGGTTTTTGTATGAAGAACCAAACATCTACCAAAAGTATCTTGAAAAGATTTAATGATTTGGATCCAAATGATGAGATACTTATGAGTTTAATGAAAGAAATCAAGGATCTTGATACACAAATCAAGGAAAAAAAGAAGTGGGTTGATGCGAAAGTTCTGCAAGCAGCAAAAAGGTTGTGTGAAGATCGCAATGAGTTGAAGAAGTTAAGAATGGAAAAGGAGGATAACGAATGGACTAAGAAGCAAAAGTCACCTGTTGATATTGACCACCCCACCATGAAGAATCTCACTAATGCAGAGATGGCTTTGAGGGCATCAAATATAGAATATGATCATGCACTAATGTTATGGAGTTATCTTGAAATCGAGAATTTAGAAATTAGAGCTGACATTATGGCTTCAAAGTTGAGTGCTTCTGAGTCCGTGACTTCAATTGTTCAATCTGATAAAAGGGAGAAGAAGCATCTCAAGAAGATTTTGGCATGGGAGAAACAAAAGGGTAAGTTGGAGGAAGATATTACATCTGAGAAACAAAATCTCATGGAGATGGAGGAAGAAATGATTCAAGTTGAAGCATCTAAAAGAACAGCCTAGGTATTTTGATTTTCTTTCTATTCTTGTTATATGTTATCATTATTGTACGTATATATAAAAATCTTTAATCTATTTTTCATTTTAATCTTTCTAAAACAGGAAAAATGGAGGGAGGAAAATGAATCCAAAAAACACGCTCTTGCACGTGTAGATCAAGAAATGATTCTCAAAGAACAAACCATATCAGACAACAAAAGAATCCAAGAATCATTACATGCAAGAATTGATTTGGATTTGAAATGCCAAAAAGATGACATACAAAGACTCGAACAAGAACTCTCACGAGTCAAATCTTTAAATGACCCGAATCATTATTGGACTAGTCTTTTTGGGACCCGCTTTGGAGATGATACTGTTGGGCGAATGCTTCATGGATCTAGTGATGAAGGTGATGAAAGCGATGATGAAGTTGACCATGAATGTGTAATGTGTGGTGAAAATGAAGTTTCTGTGGTTTTTTTACCATGTGCTCATGAAGTAGTTTGTGGTGTTTGCAATGAGGGTCTTAAGAAGGATGAATGTCCAACTTGTGGGGTTGCGATTGAAGAAAGGATTCGTGTTTTTGGTGGAAGTTCTTAGTTTTGGATGTGTTGTGAACAATAGGTTTGTAGTGGGGAGCATTTGTGTATTTTATTTTCTTAATAGTAAGAATTAGGATTTATGTTGTTGTGGTGCAAGTTTGAATTAATAGTAAGAATTAGATTATATGTTGTGGATTAAGTTTTTCGTTTGTCTAATTACTTAATATGCTATTGAGAAAGTGATGTTCACAAAAAAAAAAAAATTAAAAAATTAAAAAAAAAAAATGGGAGTGTGATTTACTACTAAATAGCCACATTTTTTCAAAACTATCATAAAGTAATTACAATCTACTTAGAAAGAAAAAGTCTTTCTTAAATTACTTTTTGAACAAGTTGTAGGTTTTGCAAAATGCATTTAATTTTGTGTAATTATAGTATGGTCATGGTTACAAATATTGTCTTTTGTAATTTAGGATGACTTTGTATTTTGTACAAACATTATTTTCTTTTTGTTTGCGGATTTGAAGATTCTGGTTATATATGGTTATATATAGAACGTGTTATTATTGATGAAGTTGCAAATTGTTAAGCGTTCATATCTTTCATCTTGAAATGCGATTTTTTCAATCAAGCTTTTGTGTAGACATGAGATTTATGTTTTTTCTTCTATTTGATATGGGGTATAAATTAAGTTTTTCATTTCCTCAAGCATGTAGGTCGGTGCAGTGCACGAAATGTAGCCAAGTTGCCATAATATGCAGAAGAAACTGTCGAACACAAGATGTCGATGAAATTGATAATCAAATATTTATTCAAAGAGCATTATTTGATATCATAAAGGGGACAATCACACAATAGCATGTTTCCACATAGAGAATGTCATAATGTTTTCAGTCTTTTTCTCTTTTCAAATGGTAAATGTGGAGTGTGAATCAAATCACCCAATACTGACAAATATTGGCTACGGCTGTAACTTAGGGCAACATTATATTTTCTACATCGATATGCAAAATTCTCTTTTGTTTGCGAATTTGAAAATTTCAGTTATATATAGAATGTGGTTTGCAATTTGTTAAGCGTTAATATCTTTCATTTAGAAATGCGATTTTTTCCATCAAGGTTTCATGTGTACATGATATTTGTGTTTCTCTTGATTACTATGGGGCATAACTTTAGTTTTACAGTTCCTTAAACATACTAAGTCATGTAGCACACGGAATGCAACCAAGTGATCAAAATATGGATAAGAAATTGTAGAACACAAGATATTAATGAGATTGATAACCGAATATTTATTCGTAGAGCCTATTTATTTGACAGCACAAAGGGGACAATCATCCACTAGTATGCTGCCACATGGAAAATCTTCTAATTGTTTAAGCCTTTTCACTGTTTGGATAGTAAATATTTATGAGAACATGGAGTTTGAATCAAATCACCTAATGCTAACTAATCTTGGCTTTTTTGTGGTTTAGAGTAACTCTGTAATTACTACAACATTATGTAAGATTAACTTTTGTTTGCATATTCGAAGATTGTGGTTATATATTGAATGACATTATATTCATGAAGTCATAATTTCTTAAGTGTTAATATCTTTCATCTTGAAATGTGATTTTTTTCAATCATGGTTTCATGTAGGCATAACTTCAATTTTGCAAGCATACTAAGACAGTGTAGTGCATGAAATGTAACCAGTTGATCCTAATATGCAGAAGAAATTGTAGAACAAAAAATTTCAATGAGACTGATAATCAAATATTTATTCTTAGAATATACTGATTTAACCCTATAAACATGGCATTCACCCAATAACATGTTGCTACTTATAAAATCTCCTAATTGTTTTTTTTTCAGATGGTAAATATTTCTATAAAAATAAAGTGTGAATCAAACCCATGTTTGTAACCAAAATAGCATAGAATCAAGTAAATATTCTTTGAATATCGGTAATCAAAAAATACGAGCATTGTGTAAAATATGAGTTTTAGGTTATTCTTTTTACTATTAAACATTTTATTACACCACTTAATATTTGGTTGCTACTTTCATACATGGTAAATCGAGATGTTACATGAGACTACACGGTACACCTAAAACCACATGCTACGATGGCCAAGGTGGCACAGCAGTATATAGTTCACACAACACCGAACCCTATTGTTGTGATGCAGTATGACCACCGTGAGATGGTAGCTTACTGCACCTCTTTTGTGTCCTTTTTGTGACAATTGACATATGTGACCAATTAAAAAAAGAAAAATAAATAAAATAAAAGTGTGGTAAGGTGTAGTATGACATCTATTAGTTTTGTTTGGTGATAGAAAAAATAATGTGACGATGACATAACACTGCAATAGTATGGTAAGTATGATATGACATCTTACGACCTAAAATTTAAAAATGTTATTTGGCTACGAAAACATGATTTTGGAAATCGTGAAATGAAATCTATAGAAATAGATTTACACACATACAAAAAGTGGAGCACATAAAAAACACAATCATATAGTAAAATATATGTGATTTGGTCGAGAAACTCATAAAATCCTACCATTAAGGAAATTCAAATTGCCTTCCATAAAATCATAGGTTTCAATTTCAATCCTTCTTTATTTGTATAAATAAGTGAAATCTCTTTTATTTACCCTATGGATTCTTCTTTTGTTACTAAATCTTGAAGTTTATTATATATCAATATATCATGTGTTTCTTGATTTGGTGTTGTAGATGGATAAATTTATGTTTACTAACATGTATTATTTTCGTTCTTTTTAGCTAAAAGTAGTCTTTGAAATTTTGGTATAGAAAAGTTTAATAAAAAGGTAATTTACATAAAAGAATAAATTATATAAATGACAATACCCTGGGCTCATAGATACAAGAGTCAGGATAGGAAAAGGGATACTATTTGTTTTCCCCTTTTCAAGAAAGTAATGAAAACCTGCAATATGCAAAACTAGAAAACAAGCAATAAGATAGTATTTCACAGTAGATGGCTTCCATAAAAGAAGCTTATACAAGCAGCAATTACAACATTTCCTAGCAACAATCGATAAAAATGATTATAGCTTAGGGGTATTTTCGTATTCTTACTATAAAGCATCAAATAACACTTAGAAAATAATCAACAACCTTTATATAGAACATAACTTAAAGAACACATTTTTATGTGCATTCCTGAAACTACATATTCAACTTCATCCATAAAACTCAAATGGAAACTGATCTTCACTTCCAAATATTCCCGTAAAGCTTTGGTTTCCTGAATAAGGTGACATGTATGCAAATCGACTTAGATCATCAACAAGTTCAACTTCATCTGTAAAATTCGAGTATGATGAACTTGGTGAGATCTCAAATTGGTGATTAGGTTGCCATGGACTCATTGAGTGTGGTATCTCGTTCATTGTGAAATTCCCTAAGTGCCCTTCTTGTCCTTTCGACTGTTCCTACAAACCCCAAAACACGTTTAATAATACTATTCTTAAAGATCATTTTGTAATCTTGTAGGTTGCATTTGTTACATTACATATGGGTGGACAAACTTTCTAGGTTTGTTTTCAATGATGAGGATGAGGGCATTTACTTTTTTTTGGTAAATGAGAGATTAAGAAACTCTCTATCCCAACTTGTTCCAACTTTTTTTGTGAGACAAAAAAATTGCAGTTTTTCTCTCATTGACATCACTTCTAGACCTATTTTATTATGTCAAAAAACTCTAGAATATATGTTTTATCATATCATGTCATGTCATGCTGGTGTTTAGGAGTTGAATATAACTAGTTGTACCTTGGAAGAATCAAGAATCAAATCGGGTGAGACCCAAAAGCTTGAAGAATTGTTGAGGCCTATTGATGAAGTTGGTTCGTTCTCGGATGTAGAAATTTTCTCATAAGAAGTTAGAGGACTTGATAAATTACTCTCATCGCCTATATGGGATCCTGTTTGAAGAACCATTTGCTCATTTATAACTCCATTAGAACTATTTCCGACTTCCATGGTTTTCGGTTCACTATTAACATAGCTTATTTTTGACTCGTTCTTTTTTGTCACACGACACAATGCATAAGGTCCCTATAAATGCAACTCATCATTAGATTCTTCAATCCCAAAGCTTTTAAAAAAACTATTAATTATAATGTAAAATTCCTAAAGAAAAAAAAACATTCCATACTTTCATTATTTAGTCAATTTAGCGACTTAACAACTATTTGCGATGATTAGACCATTATATAAACTTGTTTGGCTTTTAAAGAAACCATTACTTCCCTCACCAATTTGTTAAAATATAGAAAAGTACAATGTATCGTTTACAGTTTATCGATTTAGTCACTCTAACTATTTTTTTTTTTCTTATTATAATAATAGTACATTGGTTATATTTGTTTTAACCTTTAAAAAAACCATTTTTATCGGTTACCAATTTTGTAAAGGCTAAAATACAAAAAGATACAATGAGCTTTCATATATTTTTTT